GTATATATATTGGTATTTTACTAATAGCAATTTTGACTCCCTAGGAAACAATGATATCAAGAAAGAGAAAAATTGACTCGGAGTGTAGTATATTCAAAGAACAGTGGACTTATGATTACTTTTTCACGCAGTACAAGGAAAGAGCTGTGTGTCTGATATGCCAGAATATAGTGTCTGTGTTCAAAGAATACAATTTACGTCGACACTATGAAACTCAACATAAATATAAATATGATTGTTTGGTCGGAGAAGTGAGAAAAGATAAAATATTAAAACTGAAAAATACATGAACAACTCAGCAAAATACTTTTGTGAAGCAGAAGCAGCTAAATATTTCATCACTGCGAGCAAGTTTTCAAGTTGCCAAGCTAATAGCGTGCACTGGCAGACCATTCGTGGAGGGAGAATTTGTTAAAGAATGCCTTCTTTCTGTTGCCAAAGAGATGTGTCCAGAGAAGGCCGATTTATTTAGTACAGTGAGTCTTTCAGGACCTACAATTACACGGAGGATTGAAGAAATGGGAGACAATTTGCATCAGCATTTGCAAAACTCCACAAAAAACTTTCCTATTTTTCCTTGGCACTCGACGAAAGCAATGATGTTCGTGAGTCTGCACAACTTCTAATTTTTATTCGTGGGACGAATGACTATTTCGAAGTCACAGAAGAGCTTGCTCCACTGCAAAGCATCAAAGGAACAACTACAGGAGAGGATATCTTTCGATTTAAAGCTTTCGTGACTGCAGGGATTCATCTTCTTGGTTCTTTCGGTAAAGTCCCATAGAAGGGAATGTGATTAGTACTACATATGCCCGTGCTGCATATGTAGTACTAATAACATTCCTGCATTTCCCATAAATATGCTAAATTCCTCTTGATATGCAAATTCTTTTGTCAAGGCGCTCTTTCCCCCGTTTCCAACCTAGCTTATATATACTCCAAGCTCGTGTGCTGTTTCATTCAGACGCTGTCTCCCCGACAGACCTGGTTTTCACCTGAGGACGGCTGCTTGCGTTGTGGCCGAAACGTCGTGAGAATTATTTTATTATGTTTTATTTTTATTATTTTATTACTTCCCTTTTACGTGACTTTACCGAAAGAACCAAGAAGAGAGGATATCTATGAAAAGGTTTGCCAAACTGTGAATGGTTTGGAGCTGAACTGGGCTAAACTAGCCAGTGTGACAACTGATGGTGCTCCTAGCATGGTGGGGTCTAAGAAAGGAGTAATTGCTCGCATTAACCAAGAGATAGACAAACATAACCATTCTCATCCAATAGCCATACACTGCCTCATCCACCAACAAGCGCTGTGTAGTAAATCACTGAAGTGGGACTCTGTTATGAAATTTGTGGTATCTTGTGTTAACTTCATTAGAGCTCATGCAATAAACCACAGACAATTTCAGGAATTTCTGTCTGAGCTAAATGTTGACTATGAAGATGTTCTGTATCACACAGAAGTCCGTTGGCTGAGTCGAGGGAGAGTTTTGAAACGTTTCTATGACTTACTTCCACAGATTACAGCTTTTCTGCTTTAAAAAAACAAAGAAGTACCAGAGCTCAATGATGCAGAATGGAAATGGCACCTTGCCTTTCTGACAGATGTAACAGAGCTACTCAACAGTTTCAATGTGCAACTTCAAGGAAAGGGGAAGCTCATCTGTGATATGCAATCACATGTCAAAGTATTTGAAGTAAAATTAGGCCTCCTCATCAAACAAGTGAAGGAGGAAAACTTCTGCCATCTCCCCACAACTCAAAATCTGTTAGCGGAAAAACCATTGGTTACATTCCCAAACAAAACATGTGTGGATTCACTGGAAAAATTGCAAAAGGAGTTCCAATTTGGATTTAAAAAGCTTCATCTCCATGAACAGGACATACAGCTTTTCCGTAACCCATTTTCTATTGACATTGAAAATGTGGATACAATTTATCAAATGGAACTGGCTGAACTGCAGAATTGTGACTCTCTGAAAGACGCATTCAAGTCAAGCAGCCTTCATAATTTATATGCATCTCTCCCCTCTGAGACATATCTTCATCTCAGGAACCATGCACTCAAAATGGCAACCATCTTTGGCAGCACTTATGTCTGTGAACAGACTTTTTCCAGAATGAAACATTTGAAATCTCCAACCAGATCTAGACTAACGGATGCACACTTGCATCACTTGTTACGACTAGCAGTGACAAATATGGAACCGGACATTGACCATCTCATTAGCAAAGCGCAGGCCCATAGTTCCCATTGAAATACTGGCAAGTTTGTTGATTTAACTTTACTTGTTCTTCATTTTAAATATTGTATTTGTTCCAGTTTTGTTTCTTCACTTCAAAATAAGATATATGCAGTGTGCATAGGAATTTGTTCATAGTTTTTTTAACTATAGTCCGGCCCTCCAACGATCTGAGGGACAGTGAACTGGCCCCCTGTTTAAAAAGTTTGAGGACCCCTGCTCTATACCATAGAGCCCAATGCATCTCCGACCAGGAACACATTGCCAGTGAACTCAAACACGTACGCCAAGCTCTTAAGGCTAATGGTTACTCCGACTACACAATCCGCAAAGCCATCACTCCAACCATCAAGAAGGACCCTGTTGAGGAGCCTTTCAAAACCATCACCTTACCCTACATTGCTGGGGTCACAAAAAAGATCTCCAAAATCCTGATTAAACACAAGATCCAGGTCCGATTCAACACAGTACATAAAATCCGTGATCTGGTCCCGTCTGTAAAAGATGTGGTTCCAGACATACATTACCATGGCGTCTACAAACTAAGTTGCCTCTGTGGTAGCAGTTACATTGGAGAAACCAAACGACATGTCTCGGACCGCATCCGTGAACATAAAGCAGACTTGAAACACGGTAGGACAAACACCTCAGCCGTGGCAGATCACTGTTACAATTCAGTGGGCTCACATGATATTGACTTCTCCAAGACAGAGGTTCTCTGCAAGCCATCTGGCTACCATGAGAGATTCGTTCATGAGGCGATCCACATATACAAACACAGAGACAATTTCAACCGAGAAGATGGATTCTGGCTCAGCAATCATTGGAAGGACGTAATAAACCATTTCGGATCTTAACTGATTGTGTTCACGTTTACGGTGACTTTCAGACCGTGTTCCACTCACTGGCATTGATTATATATCTTGTATTCTCCGCAGGGAATGGATTCTTTGCTCCGCTGCAAGTCTCCTACCACTACTCTCCCATTGACATGTTTCGTTGCTTCCTCTTAGTATCTTTCACGCGACGGTCAATGGTATAGTGTATAGCGGATTATATAATAATAAATAGTATAAAATTGTAATGTTTAATACAATGTACAAAGTAATATATAGTATCGTAATTGTATAGTGAATATACAGCAGTGTGATATACATTAGGGTGGGTAGAATAATACATAGTGTAATATTACAATGGTGTATAGTAATACAGTATATAATTTAATGTTGGGTTTGTCTATGGCAGTATATAGTACGGTGTAGACTCGTGTGATGTAAGAGAAAAAAGTTTAGCTGGAAGCATATTATATTTTTTGCGACGTAGAATTGTAATGTATTACTTACTGTTAATAGCTCGGCTTATTGAAAGTATATTTAGTATACTGATGATACTATGTAGTTTATACTTTAGTTGTTTACGTGGTGGTTTAATTACTGCAGCTATATACTATTAACATTCCGTCCATTTATTAATGTTACCCCTATCCCCCCCCCTTTGATGCTGCTAATCCTGCATAATGCATGGGCATAATATGACTTTAACCCCCCCCCCCCGCCCACCTCCTACGCATTTCACAAGTAGTACTAATCGCATATCTGCATTTCCCATAAATATGCTAAATTCCTCTTGATATGCAAATTATTTTGTCAAGGCGCCCTTCCCCCCTCAATCCCAGCTTAAATAGTCGCTCCAAGCCTGGAGTGTGTCATTCAGACTCTTGTCTTCACGACAGACCTGTTCTTCACCTGAGGACGGCTGCTTGCGTTGTGGCCGAAACGTGAGAATTATTTTGTTTTATTTTTATTATTTCCATTCTACGTGACTTTACCGAAAGAACCAAGAAGATCGTCGTGATATTATTCTAACATGATGAGGCCATTGTGTTCCGGCGTCTTGGTCCAATTTAGAGAAATCGCATTGTCCATTAATGTCGCAACGATTAAAATGCCATTTACACTGCCCTACCACCAGCAGTGGCAATTGCAGGACGGCGCTTTCACCTCTTGCAGCTCGCGGTGCCCGACAACTCCATGGGGCGTGGGCTGCCCCGGCGCCGTTCCCATCGCCACCAACTCCAGGGCCCGCGAGCGATGACGGCGGTGGGTGGTTGGGCCTGTGGCCAAATTATCCGGGATGCGCCCGACCTCATAAGCCAAGCGATGCTTGTGCCTCAATCAAGCTTGCATGGATAACCACCACGCATTGAAGGTGTTACAGTCCAGCGGAGCGGCGTGTTGGGCAGTGCAGAATAATACATTGTTGGAATGTACTGTTTCTATGCTAACCGCATCCTTCAGCAACCTGCATCAACCGGCATGAAGTATGGTAAAAACAACTCATTGACCCGCACTGCGTGAATCCTTCATCCAGCAGTAGATTGAGAAATAGCTGTAGATGTGCATGATGAGTTAGAAGCAAATATATGCGCCAAGAACCGAATTGTAACTTTTAACCATGGGCTGACACTGCTCACATCGTTGTTCGGTTTGAGTTTAATCCCAGTCGGCAGTCAACACGACTCATTCCTCTGTACTCAGGAAAATAATTACTACTGTGGCAAGTCAGTAGTTGTCCCAAGAGGGTTGGCAACTCCATGGTAATGTGGAACGTTTACCACTGGCTCCGAGCTACCGGTGGAGATGTGCACCAGCACGATAAGCACGGAGCAACCTGGGGCTTGTATGCGAGCAGGAGTGATGCGTGCTTTACAGTTCCATTGCGATTTGTACGACGTTTGTGAAAGACCTTAAAAGGCACATTTCATACAGGTGTGATTTATTGACAATATTCACTCAGTACAAACTACAACAAGAGAACAATCTGCAATTTCAAATCAGGAACATGTTCAATGTATCACAATAATTGAATAGGTAAATACTCTGCAAAGTTGTGTTTTATGCAATAATAACCATACATGAAGAAATACTGTAAATAATAAAACTAAAGGATTCAGAGCGATGCAGGCTCACACGCAGACTCCCAAAACACACAAATGCAAACTCAGCCTTGGCTCGAGAACCCCTCCATGAACGCAATTACAAGTACCGTGTGGCCAAAGTTCATATTTAACTCTGCAAGTAAAAACGAGGAATTGTGATGATTTGTAACAAGGCTTGCCAGGGAAAGCTTGGATTACGGAGCCAAACTTGTGCCCAACACAAGTGCGTGCAACCCAATAGGGGTTTCCAACTTCCCTAAAATACGTGACTGAAAGCACTCTTTGTAAGTTGCTACTTTAAGCAACGACTTCTTCACGATCTTGGGAAAAAAACAAGAGATTGTTTTCGTATGAGCAACAGCTGTAAGTAAACAGTGGAGGCTGTGCTGCTAAGCAGGTGTCATGATAGATTCAATTTGGTGGCAGACGGTGGACGACAGCGCGACGTTGCCGGCACTGCCGCTCATGGCAGTGCCGACAACGTGTTCTTGGGTAAGTAAATCAGCTCCTGCCGAGGTCTGCTACCCACGTCCCGGCATCTCTGCAGTGTAACCGCATAGCATTCTGCTGAGACAGAACACGAGATGGAACTCTGGAGTCGACAACATGGGACTCATCAGCAGTGCCGTTATGTGGAACGTGGAAACTCGGGATCGACGTGGATCCAGGAGAGTGCAGCTGCGTGCTCAATGTTCACGCGAAGCTTTAAGTGACAAACATTGAGGTTACGGCCATGACTAGGTGTTGTAAGGCTAGAGCTTTCAATGCCACGCAACCCATTTAGACTTGGTCAAATTCGAAATTGTTTCTGTAGTGGATTGGAGTCTTTCCCTGTTGTGCAATAGTCCCTGCTAAATGTATATTTATTCCGAAAGGCAACACACCACAGACCAAACCCAGCACTTCCCATTGATAGCTAGTCATGCACGTGGTAGCAGGATTCAAATCATGTAGTTACTATTGTTATTAAGACAGTGCTATCATCGAAGTAAGAGCTCAAATGTCAGTCTCTTCTTAAACAATGTTTTTTCCTGTGCTGTGTAACACCCACAGGCTATTAGAAGCAGCTTTCTTCACCCTCATTGAGTGGGAGTGAGGGCATTTTAAGACACCTCGGACACTCAAGTTAAAGCACTTTTGCTCTGTCACCCTCATGAGTCTTGCAGATTTGCAGAGTTCTTAAAACATTACAGGTTTCACGTGGAGGTATGGGTTGATGCACACATTGGTGAGCACTTCCAACCATTCAGAAATTTGTGGGAAATTGAGCAAAGTGATGCAGGTTTAATGGCAACAATTTGCACTCGTGCACATTACCACATCACACAACCTACACGTAACATAATGCAGATCCTTAAATACAGAACGCCTACACTTACATAGCCAACGCGGATATAGAGACAAATTATAGTAATCAGATGATTACCTGTGCAGTTTCAATTATCTAGACTCAGTTTAATTTATTCGTTGTAGAAACTAGCTTGTGATCGTTTGCAAGATTTACAACTACCATAAGGGATCGTTGTAAGTGTAACAAAGTTGTCCTCATTTTGGCGAATACATTTGCGTTACATTCTCTCCCATGAGGTTAAAGAAGCGTCGCTGAACCCACGAGCCCAGCTGCCTCCATCACCTCGGCTCAGTTTCAACAAAGGCACCCCCCCTGCCCCCCCCCGTGTTTCTATTCAGTGCTCTTTGTGTCACCCGCCTCCCTCTGTGCCGAGGCCACGGGGCTCACAAGCTTCTTGAGGAAAACTTCCAGCTGGTCTTCGTCGCGCACGCCCACAAACTTGTCAACGACGCTGCCGTTCCGCATGGCAAGCACCGTGGGCACCGCCGACACCTGGGAACACAGCGCAGCAGTGCATAGGGCACCAGTCAAGCAGCAGCAGTGCATGCGGGCACGGGTCAATCCGCTCGCCGCCCATCTACCCACCGATTAGCACCTCTGCTTTCGCACCTCCGATTAGCACAGTTGGCATTGTACGGTGCGAAAGTTCAATATACATCCTACCCGCTGGTCTCTTTAGTTTATTACATGGGATGTGGGCGTTGTTGCCCTGAGCAGGTGGTGGTAATGGGCCTTGAATTGCTATCTGCCCATCTATTGGTCCACCAAGAGGCTGCCCCTGCCAGCACAGTTAATGTGGACAAATTACTTATACTGCCATTCGTTTACTCTGAACCAGTTACGACGACTACAACATTAGGAGGGTAACAATGTGTTTGTGTTGCTGAAAACGATAGGCAAGAGCCATCTATGAATAGATGAGGTGCCAATCATGTTTCAGTTACAATATGCTACTGAGTTGATTGATGCTGCCTATTTTAAACGTTAAACTTGCAGTCACTGAGTACCACTTTGTAGGAAATCATCAGTGGTTGTCCTCCAGTAGGGCTGGAACCTGAGATAATAACATGGCACAAACCTTGCCTTTTGCCACATTTGTTGCAAGGCTTCAGTAAATTACACAAGCCTGGGTGTCTAAATGCCAGTCATCCCAAAGCATGCCAGTCACTCGTGGGTTTGATATTTAAGAACCATGGGAACCAATACACCTGCATACTGCTAAGAAGTGCATCCCTCGAGGGATATCAACCCACCGCTGCCATCGGCAAACGCCACGGTGGCCTCGTCCACTCACCCCATACTCAACGGCCAGGTCCGTGTGGTCGTCGATGTCCACCTTGGCCATGAGTACCTTGCCCGACTGCTTGGCCACCAGCTTCTCGAGGCGAGGGCCCAGAATCTTGCAGGGCCCGCACCACCTGTCAGTGTACAGGAGACATTGGGCGCCAGCCAAGACGGACGACGGGACTGCCCCGAGGCGGTGTTCCCCACTCGGCAATTTTGTCGCTAGACTCGGTGACTTTTTGGGTTTCCCAAGTTACAAAATATTTTAAAAGTGACAAGCGACTTGAATGGGGAACATGAAGCAGCTTTAGGAGTAGTTAAGGAATTGTATGAAGGATTCTTCTGAATTTAGGTTTATAATTTGGAAATCGTCTGAGTGATATTTTGACAGCTTTAAAGCCTTTCTAGATATATAGACTCATATGATGACTTCCCGCTTAAAGGAGTTTGCAACACTCCTTAGTTACATTTAGATGTTTTTTATTTAATTTATTTCTATTAAAATCAATGCCTAAGCTCATGATACGAATGAAATTGTAAAAACTAGACGTCTAAGTAACAGCATTAAAATTTCATTGAATCTTGTAAGAATTGATTATTCTTTACTCATCCACCGTATGCGACCGAAGCGACCAGAGGTGCTTAAGATCAAGGTGTCATCATGGTCGGAGCCACTGATGTCATGCGAATTGAACGTCGCCAACACTCTCTACCCTCCACCAGGTCACACAGCTGCTGTAGTCGACACGCAGTGACCTCCAAGATCTGACCTCACAATCTCCCTCCACCTGCTCTTAGGTCTTCGTCTTGGTCTCAGCAATCGGCGCTCACAAATCCTGCCTAATGACATTTACAACACCCATCTGCGACGTTCACTTTTGGACTTCCGTCTTGCCATGGAATTTCCAGCATCCGACTAAGACACCTGTGCTCAAACGCCAGCAACTTCTCCAATCCATACCGTAGTAGAAATGGCGCTTCATAGCCCAACAAATCCTGTCCTGCGAAAGTGACGTGAGCTCCTTCTCACAGCCCCCTGCGCTGTGGACATCACCGCCTGAGTAAACAAACTCTTCTACCACCTCAACCTTCTTCCCTCCCACCGGAATTTGCGATCCTACTACAGGAACCCCGTATCTGACTACCGCCATTAGCTCTGTCTCAGAGGTGCCGCATTCATGCGACATTGAAACCGAACAACTCACTGCGCGTGGAAATCGACCACGACGGGCGTGTCGCTGTTCACCACGCGCTCCGTGAAGTCGTCCACGTCCTGTACGTGGAAGGAGACGGTGCGCGTCGCCGTGGACGTGAAGCCGCGCGTGCTGCGTGTCCATGTCGTGTCGAGCGGCCGCGCCAATGGCGTCGTCAGCAACAGCGATGAGGAGGAGAGCGGAGCATGGGAGCCGCGCGCCGCCCTGCTCACAGCCTCCTGCACCACCACCAGCCGCCTCAGCACCTGCCTGTGCGCCATCTGCTGCAAAAATAATGTGCGGCTGCACACGTGCATGTGCATGCACACGGCGCATGCATCACTGCTGCTGTAGTATTATAAGAACGATCATCATCAGTCATGATCAATTCACTGCTCGTATCCTATGAATACACAAACCTAACATTCAGGATAGTTCCACATTGGCATCTTTAGCCAGTTCAGTTATTGAGCGTTTGGAATGTGGGAAGAGCCTTGATTACCTAGAGAAAACCCACGTATAGGAGCAGACAATACGTAAAGCTCTGCAAAGTCAATTATTTGCTCTACTGCTGTCTTCCAACTGCCTCGCAACCCAAGCCAACAAGCCGTGGTATTCCCACTCTCCCATCCGAGTGCTAACCAGGTTGAGCCGTTAGTACTCGGATCTGAGATTCGGCGTTTTCAGGACGGATTGATCGTAATAGCCAGCTGCCTTTCAAGCTGTCCTCTTATTCCTGTCAGTGACAATACAATTGCTGTTGTTCTATTTGCTTCTCACACATTGATGCTGCAGCGCTACCGCTAGCTGCATACCTAGGCTGTGCATCACAGGCTAGCCGACACAATTTGAACGTATTAATGACAGGGTGATATTTATAAGGTGGGAGTCCCGTGTCGCCGGCTATGTCACTGTGCAGTGCACACTGAGAGCGATTCCATGTTAATCTGAGCCCAGCACGCGCAAAAAGGATTGGGAAACTGTTCTGGGGACTCTGTCCTGTAGCCGTTCACACGGATACATGCCGCCACATTGCCATGGATAAGTTTTGATGTCTCACATCACCCAATTGTTTCGGTTTCCTTTGAACTGAGTGGACATATTGACAGCCCAGTCCTCTGGACTCCTGCAGACCCATTGTTGAATAACTGCGCCAGAACGGGCACATACGAGTAATTAAAACTCACACGGTCAGAGGGGAGGCAGATGTTTTGATAAATCCGTGAACGCGAGAAATGCGCCTTTTCAAGTCTCATTTTGCAAGCTGCCCTGAACCGGCTTCGTGCTGCCCGCGTCCTCGGCGAGGAAACTAGAACCAGGGTGGCCGAATGAGGATAGCAGTAACTGTTTCACGAGGTGTCATATCAAAGAACGATGCATGATATACATCCTGAACATTACAACAAAAAACGTAGAGTTACAAACGCGATTCAATGCATCAATCACGAGGTTAATAATTTAAATAAAAAATATATAACCAAATTACATAATTTCAGCATTAGAGCTCGTAGAGAGTTATGATGTGGGCTATTGTTAGAGGCACACGGGCCTGACAGGGTTAGGTTTACATTCGTTCAAAGTTGGCAAAATGGTGGTGCTATGATGGTCAGACTGCACGTTTCACAATCGATCGGTGCTCGACTCGGCCCATCATTCCTTCGGGCCGATAAATCACGTCAATAGTTATCACTCGAAGATAAGGCTTGCAATTTTCACTGCTGCTGCTAAAGACAAAATGACACCTTGTTGAGAGGGGAGACGGTGACTTTATAGGGCGGCTTTCCTTTAAAGTGCAATTTAAGCGACCCACTGCCCAACAGACTTGCATTTACAGAGGTTAATGTTGATTAACAATGGCGCGGCGCTCATCTCTGGTCCTGAACAGCGATGGAAACTCCACATTTATATACCGAGCCATTATCTAGAACCACTGTTGACTCTCACAAAGTGGAATTCTATTGGACCTTGAGAGTCGAAGATGTTAAGACCGAGTCGACCACCAACTGAAATGTAACAAAAAAAACCTTCCCAACGCGAGACGATCACTGCCCACGTCGCCTTCTTAATCGCGGCTTGGCTCTGGCCTCTAACGCGGCTCAGGCTGAGCTCTGAAAAGAGCTGTTGGGTCGCTTCCACAGCCGTGGCTCGGCTGAGGCTCATGGAAATCGTGAGCGTGGCGGGGATCGTGCTTAGAGCCTCCTCGAGTTGAGCGCCGTGGCTGAGTCGGCTCCCTTGAGCCAGCTCCGAGCCTGAACCGTGGCCGAGAGCACTCGGGTCCCATGAATGCGACTCAACGCGGGGCGCCACGGACCCCGTGCCGGAGAGCCGCGTGGGGACGCGAGAGGCGACGTTTCGGGCAATGGGCCCAGGGGTTCTTCATGAAGAACTTGGGCCATCGCCCGAAACGTCGCCGTGACCTATCCTTACCCCGAGCACGCGTCGCTTGACCTCTCACCCCGCGTGACCTCTCTGCCTCGTGACCCCGAGCGCGCCACGTGACCTCGCGCTCCTGCCGTGGCTTCTGCTGCCGGGTTCACTCGGAGCGAGCGCGGTGATTGGTTCGAGAGGCGAGTGCGACGATTGGTTACAGCGGGGCACGTGGTGCGGGCGGCGAGCCAATCGGGCATCCGCCACCTCGGGGAATTACAATGGGTGAGCGTTGCGGCTTACGGCAGCCGCGATGCCGTGAAGCAGTGCAGAGCTGTCGTGAAGTGCCGCCAAGTGTCGTGAAGTGTCGCAAAGTTACTATCAACATGGCGTAAAGTTTGACCGGACGTGATGTCGCGAAGTCTCATAAAGTTTACTTGCTGCCAGGGAGTGAAGGGTCACTGCCCGAAATATCGCCTATTCCATACATTTATATTTGACGTCGGTGTTATTGACGACCGTGTCGAGTGTTTTTTTATTGATCCTACAAGAGTGTCGTAAGATTGCGCTGGTGTCGTGAAGTGCCGCAAATGACAATAACGTAAAGGAGGGCGCGGAGCCCGACGGTACAGAAAGTGACGTCGCCGCCAGCAGCGAGTGCCGGGGTTGATCCGCTGCTGGATGGAGGCCGCCGCCGCCTCCTCCTCCTCGCGACCTGACGATCCACGCGGCACCGTCCCTCCGTCTCTGCGTCAGACGTCCTCTCGGGCGCGTCTCATCCCGAGCTCCGCGAGTCCGTGTGGCGGTGAGCGCGTGGCGGGTCTCGCGGCGGGTCTCACGGCGGGTTGTTTCCGTCACTAAGCCGCGTCCCCGGCCCTTGTCGCAGGCTCAGGCAGTCGACGTCGCTGTTCGTGACGACGTTCAGTTTTCTAGCAGCACACTATACACTCTTATCCACTGCTACCCTGTACTATACACTCTTATCCACTGCTACCCTGTACTATACACTCTTGTCCACTGCTACCCTGTACTATACACTCTTGTCCACTGCTACCCTGTACTATACACTCTTGTCCACTGCTACCCTGTACTATACACTCTTGTCCACTGCTACCCTGTACTATACACTCTTGTCCACTGCTACCCTGTACTATACACTCTTGTCCACTGCTACCCTGTACTATACACTCTTGTCCACTGCTACCCTGTACTATACACTCTTATCCACTGCTACCCTGTACTATACACTCTTGTCCACTGCTACCCTGTACTATACACTCTTGTCCACTGCTACCCTGTACTATACACTCTTGTCCACTGCTACCCTGTACTATACACTCTTGTCCACTGCTACCCTGTACTATACACTCTTATCCACTGCTACCCTGTACTATACACTCTTGTCCACTGCTACCCTGTACTATACACTCTTGTCCACTGCTACCCTGTACTATACACTCTTGTCCACTGCTACCCTGTACTAATACTTGCCTCTATACACTCTTGTCCACTGCTACCCTATACTATACACTCTTGTCCACTGCTACCCTGTACTATACACTCTTGTCCACTGCTACCCTGTACTATACACTCTTATCCACTGCTACCCTGTACTATACACTCTTGTCCACTGCTACCCTGTACTATACACTCTTATCCACTGCTACCCTGTACTATACACTCTTGTCCACTGCTACCCTGTACTATACACTCTTATCCACTGCTACCCTGTACTATACACTCTTGTCCACTGCTACCCTGTACTATACACTCTTATCCACTGCTACCCTGTACTATACACTCTTGTCCACTGCTACCCTGTACTATACACTCTTGTCCACTGCTACCCTGTACTATACACTCTTGTCCACTGCTACCCTGTACTATACACTCTTGTCCACTGCTACCCTATACTATACACTCTTGTCCACTGCTACCCTGTACTATACACTATTGTCCACTGCTACCCTATACTATACACTCTTGTCCACTGCTACCCTATATTATACACTCTTGTCCACTGCTACCCTATACTATACAGTCTTATCCACTGCTACCCTGTACTATACACTCTTGTCCACTGCTACCCTGTACTATACACTCTTGTCCACTGCTGCCCTATACTATACACTCTTATCCACTGCTACCCTGTACTATACACTCTTGTCCACTGCTACCCTGTACTATACACTCTTGTCCACTGCTACCCTATACTATACACTATTGTCCACTGCTACCCTGTACTATACACTCTTGTCCACTGCTACCCTATACTATACACTCTTGTCCACTGCTACCCTGTACTATACACTCTTGTCCACTGCTACCCTATACTATACACTCTTGTCCACTGCTACCCTATACTATACAGTCTTATCCACTGCTACCTTATACTATACACTCTTGTCCACTGCTACCCTATACGATACACTCTTGTCCACTTCTACCCTATACTATACACTCTTATCCACTGCTACCCTATACTATACACTCTTGTCCACTGCTACCCTATACTATACACTCTTGTCCACTGCTACCCTATACTATACACTCTTGTCCACTGCTACCCTATACTATACACTCTTATCCACTGCTACCCTGTACTATACACTCTTGTCCACTGCTACCCTGTACTATACACTCTTGTCCACTGCTACCCTGTACTATACACTCTTGTCCACTGCTACCCTATACTATACACTTATCCACTGCTACCCTGTACTATACACTCTTGTCCACTGCTACCCTATACTATACACTCTTGTCCACTGCTACCCTGTACTATACACTCTTGTCCACTGCTACCCTGTACTATACACTCTTGTCCACTGCTACCCTAAATTTCGATTTAAAGCTTTCGTGACTGCAGGGATTCATCTTCTTGGTTCTTTCGGTAAAGTCACGTAGAAGGGAAGTAATAAAATAATAAAAATAAAACATAATAAAACAATTCTCACGACGTTTCGGCCACAACGCAAGCAGCCGTCCTCAGGTGAAAACCAGGTCAGTCGAGGCGACAGAGTCTGAATGAAACAGCACACGAGCTTGGAGCATATATATAAGCTGGGCGCATTGACAAAGGAATTTGCATATCAAAAGGAATTTAGCATATTTATGGGAAATGCAGGAATGTGATTAGTCCTGCATATGCATGTGCATTATGCAGGATTAACAGCATCAAAGGGAGCTGCAGTTACTGCTGCTGCTGAAATTACTGCTGCTGCTGCAGTTGCTGCTGCTGCAGTTGCTGCTGCAGTTGCTGCTGCTGCTGCACTTGCTGCTGCTGCTGCACTTGCTGCTGCTGCTGCACTTGCTGCTGCTGCTGCACTTGCTGCTGCTGCACTTGCTGCCTTATCCATTTTAATATAACACTATGTATTATTCTACCCACCCTAATGTGTATCACACTGCTATATGTTTACTATACAATTACGACACCATACATTACTCTGCACACTGCACCATGCCAGTGAGTGGAACGCTCACTGGCATGGTGCAGTGTGCAGAGTAATGTATGGTGTCGTAATTGTATAGTAAACATATAGCAGTGTGATACACATTAGGGTGGGTAGAATAATACATAGTGTTATATTAAAATGGATAAGGCAGCAACTGCAGCAGCAGCAAGTGCAGCAGCAGCAAGTGCAGCAGCAGCAGCAAGTGCAGCAGCAGCAGCAAGTGCAGCAGCAGCAGCAACTGCAGCAGCAGCAACTGCAGCAGCAGAAACTGCAGCAGCAGCAGTAATTTCAGCAGCAGCAGTAACTGCAGCTCCCTTTGATGCTGTTAATCCTGCATAATGCACATGCATATGCAGGACTAATCACATTCCTGCATTTCCCATAAATATGCTAAATTCCTTTTGATATGCAAATTCCTTTGTCAATGCGCCCAGCTTATATATATGCTCCAAGCTCGTGTGCTGTTTCATTCAGACTCTGTCGCCTCGACGGACCTGGTTTTCACCTGAGGACGGCTGCTTGCGTTGTGGCCGAAACGTCGTGAGAATTGTTTTATTATGTTTTATTTTTATTATTTTATTACTTCCCTTCTACGTGACTTTACCGAAAGAACCAAGAAGATGAATCACTGCTACCCTGTACTATATACTCTTGTCCACTGCTACCCTGTACTATACACTCTTGTCCACTGCTACCCTGTACTATACACTCTTGTCCACTGCTACCCTGTACTATACACTCTTGTCCACTGCTACCCTGTACTATACACTCTTGTCCACTGCTACCCTGTACTATACACTCTTGTCCACTGCTACCCTATACTATACACTCTTGTCCACTGCTACCCTGTACTATACACTCTTGTCCACTGCTACCCTGTACTATACACTCTTATCCACTGCTACCCTATACTATACACTCTTATCCACTGCTACCCTGTACTATACACTCTTGTCCACTGCTACCCTGTACTATACACTCTTATCCACTGCTACCCTATGCTATACACTCTTGTCCACTGCTACCCTATACTATACACTCTTGTCCACTGATACCTTATACTATATACTCTTATCCACTGCTACCTTATACTATACACTCTTGTCCACTGCTACCCTATACTATACACTCTTGTCCACTGCTACCCTATACTATACACTCTTGTCCACTGCTACCTTATACTATACACTCTTGTCCACTGCTACCTTATACTGTACACTCTCTTGTCCACTGCTACCTTATACTATACACTCTCTTGTCCACTGCTACCTTATACTATACTCTCATATCCACTGCTACCTTATACTATACACTCTTGTCCACTGCTACCTTATACTATACACTCTTGTCCACTGCTACCTTATACTATATCCTCCCCCTCCCCTCGTGTGTCTCACAAGCCAAGCAGGCTCCAGCCTGGATAGTGCTGGGATTGTGGGGACTGTGGTAAACCACTGCCTCGCTGCGTGGTGGTGAGCGTCACGTCTCTACCCTCCCCCCGTGTGTCATGTAGAGTGAGGAGAGAGACGGATCTCTCCCCGTGTTTGCATGGTTTTTTCTCCGGGTCCTTGAGGTTTCCCCTAACATATTTGGGAACAAAGCGTTTCGTGCAGTGGTTCTTAACCTGGGGCTGTGCAAGATACCCTACTTCTGAGGTTAAGAACCACTGGTTTAGAGTAGGACTGAACGATTAATCAATTTGAAATCGAAATCGCAATTTGAAGCAATGCGATTAGGAAATCGCAAAGGCTGCGATTTTTTTTGCCATTTTTTTTACCCTTCTATCTGGCAACAAAACTGAC